TATTGGTTATGGCTTTGACCCAATGCCTGCTGGATATGCGGGTTTGGCTTAGGCTGTGTTTGTTACACAACACGAACATGGTTTTGTTCCCTGCTTCCCACTGTACAAAGAAGATTTTAGCCACAACACAGCAGATGAACATCAAGCAATAATTTGAGTTGAAACTGAGGATCCCGTTTTGAAATACAGAAACAGTTTGAGAAATACACAAGAATCTGCCTAAGTCCTTGCAAACAGAGACTGTAACTTCAGAGTCATAACTGAGCAATATGCCTGCATTTAGATGCAAAAATTGTCCTCTATAATTTTTGCAATTAGTGTTTGATCCAGTCTAGCTTCAATGTTCTGTTGTTATCTTTATCTATTTGAAAACTTCCCAAGAGAGCTATAATGAGCCAGGACCATTTTCATGACTATTGATTTCACGGTTAAAATTATAGTATTTGATTGTTATTTGACCAAACTGAGATTATTGTATGTTTTGAAAACAAGAGCAGCAACAGTAGAAGTCATGTCCCTAGAAAAGTAGAAAGTTAGGAACTGCTAAACAGCCCTACTTCTCCTGTGATGCTGCAGCGCTCTGCAAAAACCCTTCTCAGTGCTGCCCCTTTCCAGGCAACAAGAAGGCGGCACACAGAGCCTCAGTGACCTTTCCAATGTCACCCCATATATCGTGGCAAAGTGTGGGATAGATCTCAAGGGTCCTTCCTCCCAGCCAGGGCCCTCACTACTGGCACCCATTTTCCTGTCTGGGAAATGCTCATTCCTGTTGGCAGTGTTTCCTGTAGTCAGGGGATGTGTTTTGTGGTGAAGACACTTTTAGGACCAAAAGCCTGGATTTCATTATAACTCATAGAAAACAAGTAGGTACTGGACAACCATTTATGAAGTTTATTTTTCATTGTCACAATATATTTCGAAAATGTTGCTGAACCCAAGGACTTCCTGCACTCTCTGGTTCCTGCTTTTCAACAGACTAAACCAATCACAATTAGCAATGGATTTTAGATAAATCCAGAAATGTTTTAAGCAAGTTCCTAAATGTGATAAGAACTCCAAATATCTTTTTGAATAAAGTGTTTCAAAGGACTGTTAGGACTAAACAGCCCTAGTGCATGATGTGAATAGAACCACCTTTTCCTGGCACTTTGTTTTACTTTTTTTAGTATGAGACCTCTCTGTATTTTATGAAACAAAGGGTATAACTCACCATCCTTTCTTTTCTCAGCAGAATGGCAGAATTGTTGATTTTCAAGTTGTGTTGACATTTTGAGCTGAGTGAAATCCAATAAGGCTACAAGAATTTCCTAGCAAAACTCTGGGCACCATCAAGGTCAGGTAGAGAAGTTGAAGCAGGAGGTACCTGAGTTGTTAACGGGGTGAATGTAGGTGCAACTGCCACGTTTTTACCTTTTTCTATCAATGCCATGGAAATCACCACCAGTTTAACAAGTGAATTTAAACATCTTGACTCCAGTAGCTGCTGCTGACTGCATCTTCAGAGCCAGGAGCACTTTGACATCCCATTTTCTTCAAGCCGAGTCACAGGTCAAAGGGCAGCAAGACACCTTTCCCCGGCTGCCAGTGATGTGCCTCCTTGAAATAAATCAAAATTTAAAAGTCTGACTCCTGGGAATAAGTTTTGAAGTGAGGCTGCAGGAAGCCCCTGACCGCTCATGCCAGTGTTGTATCATACAGAGCTGAGGGGAGGACCAAGCTTTAGGCAGGCAGAGCATACAGGTGCTCCTGTCGCAGCTTGTAGGCAGAAGTGCCCACAATGGTTTAGTCAGGATGAGAGGAGGAACATGTGCCCAACTCTGTGTATGTGGCACTGTGGCCCTTAGGACTTTCTGCATCCACTACCCACAAAATGTCAGTATCATCCATCCAAGAAAACGTTCCCCTCCAAAAGTGCTGAGTGCTGCTGCTTCCACCTCTGAAACATCTAGGCCATTTAGCAACAGGTTTGTGCCCTCTGATCCCAAAAGAGATGCTGGTACTGCTGCCCTGTTGTCCTTGTGAGCCAGAAACCCTTCTGCAGAAGAATCAAATGTTAAAGCCTTGTTCTGATTACATCTACTCCACATAAGGCACAGTAACTTAACTCGAGCCAACAGTCACCCCAGTGTAAATGGGATCGTGGCAGATCAAAAGCTGGGTTGTAATCCTCTCATTGCCCCAAAATAAATTCTCTTCTTGGCAGGCAGAGCTTAATGATAAGTGTTCAATCCTACCTCGTACGTGGCTTAGGAGCATGAGACAGGCAGCCCTGGGAGGGCTGCTCCACATTCCATGGCTGTCTGGGCAGGGACCATCCCCAGGGCCATGCAGGGACCAGGCTGGACTGCTGCCAGGGGCTCACGGAGATCAGCCCCTGCAGTCAGAACTGCCAGTGGTGACATTTCAGAAGGTTTTACCTTGTAGAGGCTTCATAAATGTCATCCTCAACGCTCCCTCCTGAAGCTGCTGGTGGAGCCAAGTGATTCCCCTGGAAGGGACGGCCCCATGTCGGGTTTCTCCATCACTGTCACACATATCTCTGAAAATATTTACTTACTGTTTGAAAGGAAAATGGCTTTCTGAGGCCATTATTTCTTTCTCCCCTCTGCTATCATAAAGGTCTTTGTGATGGAATGATAGAGGATTCATCCACACAAAAAGAGCAGGAAACGATACCAAAAGATAAGGGTATCTCTAGGTAGGGCAGTGGAAGATCACAGTGGTGGCCACACTCTTTGTATATGTAAAGGCAAAAAATACCAACTGAAAATAAATAGGTAAGATAAGCACTGATATTTGAAGGACTTGGAAACTAGATTTGAATAAAGTTGTGGGGTTTTCTTATCCCATCTCATCTTTTCCTGTATTCCTTTCTGTCTAGTTTGCACTGCAGCCTCGACACAGAGCAGTCTGTTTATCATTAGTAAGATGTAGTGTATATTAGAGCAGCAATAACAGTAAGTCATTTAGAGTGTACGTCACAGGTTACAAAGAAAATAGGGATGCTATTTTATTATGCTGAGGCTATAAAGCTTACACTAATACAAAATATTGCTGGCAGTCACCTTGTTTTATTCTTCTTTTAACAACTTACTAACAGTGTGTAAATATAAAAGGAAACTTTGATTTTTCCATCCGGATACACTGAAAACTCTTTCCATAAAAATGCTAGGGTGCATTTAACACTGTGACCAGAAATATTGAAATTTGACAGTTAGGAGGTTAAAGGTTTCAAATTTATACACAGAGGTGTTTTGCTCCTGTCATGGTCATAGCAGCTTGCTCAGGATAACCCCTTTTGCTTACTGAACCTTTGAAAAGCAGAGAACATTAAGCAATACATCTTGGCAGATGCCCTGGGATTTCACACCACCAGCAGAAGCCCATATGCACACAAAAAGTGAACCTCTTAGGTGAAAACTGGTCAAGCCTTTCTCTGTTTCTGTACTGTGTGCTGGCAAGCAGCTGTCCTGCACTGCTGCTGCCACCATCCTTTCTGCTAGAATTAAGGCAGTTTCTGTAATTTTCAGGTATAAGGTGCTACTGCTTTTAATTTCCACATAGATCACTCAAAAAGGTGTCATCAAGAGAACATGTACAGGAGCCATTACTGAGAGGTAATGGCATCAGATAAATACGTCTTTTACATTCCTGCCATGAAATACCTGCATAAAAGATAAAACAAAACAAAATGGACTCTGTGCCCCAAATACCAAGATTTTAGATATCTTCTAGTCTTTATTTTAGGAATTTCAGCCTGTGGTAAATACCTATAGGACAGTATTTGCCTCTTAACTGCCATGTGAGAGAATAAGTGCATCTGAAAACAGGCAAGGTGCCATAGTGCTTTCAACTTTTTTAAATTATATTTTTCAAGCTCTACAAAGGTAAAAAAAAAAAAATACTATGTGTTGATTTACTGAGAAACCATCCCCACACAGAGCTGCTGGGGACAGTACAGCCTTGGCAAACCAGCAAATAAAATGATCAGCTTTCCTTTCTTTGATTTTCATATCATAGCATGTAAGAGAACCACTACGGGCATTTCTTTTGATATTCACCATAAAACTGTCCTCATAAATATTACTGCAAATACACAATGGCTTTTTGGCTGATGTTCTGAAAACAATTACAATGAGCACACATTTTTACACACAAGCATCTCTGTACCATTAATGTCCTCCTGGTAGGCACAGTGGGGCTGGCAGAGGGGATGCTGCGAGGCAGGCAGCCCTGCTTGTTAAAAGTGCTCCCTGCTGTCACTCCAGGAGCTTGAGGAATTTAGGGCTAGGTCTAAGCTCAGGTTATAGCCCCTATTCACTTCAAACTGAGGAGCGTGCGGCCTCTGCCTTTGTTGGCTGCAGGACCCACACCAGCGGGAGCAGCAGGCACAGGGCAAAGCCCATCTGTTTGCTCAGGGCTTTGCCTGGGGCAGCGGTGGTGGGACGTGGGGTAGCTGGTAGAAGATCCTGCTGTGGACTGAGTGCTCTTACAGTGAAGCAACAGCAGGCAGGAGTGCGGGAGCCAGTTGCACAGAGGATTTTAGCAGCTTAGTGAGTATGTGAGAGTCACTGATTTGTTCTCTGGTCCTGGAAAGGAGCACATGGCCGTGCTGGGCTGCACAGCACTGTCCCCCTTCAGAACGTGTCAAGGCTGAGTGTATCTGAGGAGAGGGTCTCTGTATAGTGCTGCATAGATATTTATTGTGCTGCAGGAGTGGAGGCTGGAAATGGTGTGGGGGAAGCATGCAGAAGGGATCATGCTGTACCCATAAGTGGTTGGGGCCTCCTAGTGTGCTGGAAAGTAAGGGGAAGTCACTACATCTCCTGTAATTCTTCAGGGGGTCTAGCTCTGTCATGCCCCAGCAATGATGAGACTGGAGGTTTGACTTCACACATTCTTTCAGGTGTAAATACCCACCCAGGCTCAGGCACCTGAGAGCTGAGGATTCTGTACTGTTAGGAGAAATTACATGTCTGTGCATGGCAGAACTGCATGTCCTGCAATACTCCAGTTTTTCTGGTCTTAGAGTACCTGTTAAATTACAGCACCTGTACCAGTGGTGATAGTTGAGCTGAGCTGAGCCGTTATCCCTGCTCACCCCAGCTCTTCCTGGCAGACAGTTCAGGGTCCTGAGTAACACTAAGATCCAACTTAAAGGCGATTGTCAGAGCTACGTGGCAGAGGGGCACGCTAGGCACTGGAGAGAGAAGCTAGATTAGAAAACAACTAAATCAGAACAGTCAGTTAATGCCATTGAAAACATTAAACTCCTCTTTAAGGGTTTCGTTTGTCCCCAAGGCTTTCATGGTGCCAACCAAGTACTAGAGAGAGCCATTTGTAATCTTCTTGCCTTGGGTGAATCTCCTCTGTGCTGTCTTGAAGACATATGTCATGCAGGCCTTCAGAAATTCAAATTAAGTACTGTGAGGTAAATATATTCTCTAGTCTTGCTATAGTTGGTTGGTTAGTTTGTTTTCCCCATATATTTCTTTATTGGTCTGTTTTCCTCTCTAGAGCTGAGGCTGGTCAGCAGGAGCCAGCAGTCTTCCGAGGTCCTGGCTCACCTCCGGTACAATCATGCAAAAGAAGCAATTTTTCATTATTGATAAAATGTAATGTCATAATGTCATGGCCTTTCAGGTCATCATCTTTGTAAGTCAGCCATGACATTATCACAATTTATAATGATAACAAATGACCATAATGTTTGCATGTAATTTTCATTGGCTATTGCAGAATTCTAAAACCACTCCTTCGAAGGATGGATTTCATTAATAAGCAAGTGCCATTACATGGTACCAACTGCTTCTACCGGGGGCTTTTTGCTAACATGTGGCCTATTCTGTCTGATAGGTGAAATTTATGTACTTAGTTGAAATTTAAGATTTGGTGGCTCTTAGTTAAGTAGTGATGCAAACTGAGACAACATTCTTGCCCTTTAATGCTATCAAGGTCTTTATAATATGCCTAAATTCCAATAATTTCTAATAAGAGTTTTGTAAATACGCACCCCGTGAAGATTGCCAGCTGGAAGGTCTGACTTGAGTGTCAGATTCATTCTTGACTGTAGTGTTGGCCTTACTTATTTAATATTTCATGATAAACTTAAAAGATTTACAGCTTCAGGAGCTGGTGAGAATCATAGGCCATTTATTTTCATGTGATATTTAGAGGTTGGAGCTCCAGTCCCCAAACACTTTAAACATATTCTTAGCTTTAACATCTGGACTGAGAACATCGCTGGGGTGGGTTCCCTCTGCTCTGCAGGATCAGGACCTTGGAGTAAGTGCACTGAGTTCAATAGGGCTGAATCTGGAGCACTTGTAGGGAGCACTCTGTCAATCTAATCCATAAATAAATACTCTACTCCTGAAGTCCTCTGAAGCTAATGCATGAAAAACAATAAAATGCCTGGGCACTCCAGGCCTCTTGAAAAAGCAGGGCCAGGCTCTTGTGTGTATCTGTGTGCACACACATGCATGTGTATGAAATAAATTAAAACAAACAAAAATAAATGTTTCTGAAAGAGCAGCTGTGAGTTATAGTCTAACAGACTCCATGACAGGCCACCAGGCAAAAGGACTCTCTGAGCTGCACAATTGGTCCCCCAGGGACACGGTGCCTCAGAGAGGACAAAGAAAGAGCTGGGGACTCGGCTGTGCTTTGTTTTGGCCTACAAGGCTTATCAAATCCATGTTGTGATTCATTTTTCATCTGCAGCAAGAAGCTTGCAGGAAAAATTTGCCTTTTTCTTTTTTCTACTTCTTTGGGGCTGCTATTTTTTTCACTGGAAATTGTAAAATTATTGCCCTTATGAAAAATATTACACTAAGTTTCATCCTTTGTCAGTGTGATTCCAAGGCCACCTGGTTATTATTGCGTTGTCCACTAGGCCATGCAAACATGTGACAGAAGGCTTTCTTCCCTTTAGAGTGAATTGTATACAAAAATGTTTCATTGTCTGGAGGATCACGCCTTATGTGGGATATTGCCCAATTATATTCATGGCCATTCATTCTGTAGGGCTTGAACATCACTCATATGGGGATCTCCTTGTTACTGTCTTTGAAACCTCTACCACGAAGGCTAGTTTCATCAATTTTCCAAGCCTACAGGTCTCCAAGTGACCCAATAAGGTCATTCATGGCAGCTCAGTGTCCATATTGTAAATACCCTAACAGACCATAGGCAGCTGTTTTGTATGCTTACAAGAGTGTCTTCATTCTCTACAGCAAAAGGGGCTGAACTCCACTGTAGTGCACAGGCACACTTGCATCAAGATAAATTCTTTTAAGTCACTTCAGCGGAAAACTGCTCAGGCTATCAAAGTTAGTATGCACTGCAAGCAATGAACATTAGCCAGAGCCTCGGGAGATACTGAAAGAAACCTCAGAGTCTGCGTTTAATTGTCCTTCCTGAAATACCTTTTTATGACGCATCCCCACTGCTCACTTCATTTTCTCAGTTTAACTCAGGTTTGACTTTCTTCATTTCAATGCACTGGCAGCCCAGGGGCTTGGTTGTATCAAGGGAACATTTTACAAACCCTTCATGAGATGGCTCAGGTTGATTTTAGCACAGCTCCACCTCTTCTCCTGTGGTTGATGTCCCCAAAGAACAGATGGACATAAGAATGGGAGACTTAAGCGTGTTCGATTCATTTTCTGGTAAATTATGTTACCCCAAAACACTCTTCCCTGAATTTTAAAGCTGATGGGCTACATCAGCTGTTTAATTGGTGTTTTGATTACATTTTATTTGATGACACACATGACATGTTCCTGATATCATATGATACCATGGCAATCGTCCATGTAACTATTTCATTGCTCTTTAGAACTCTTCAGCTCAGCACTGCCCTGCTCTGATGAGTCCTCCTGCTGAGCAGAGGCTCAGCAGAATTAGAGGATGCTCTTCTAGGAGGAGAGAAGAACCTACAATAGTACAGAAAGGCACAAAGACTCCTTTGCATTCTCTGATCCAGCCTCCTTAAGCAGTGGTTTGCAAAGGCACTGTTGCTTCTTGGGTTCATCTCGCTCTTGTTTTAGCCGGCCCGTACAGGCTTCCTCCCACCGGATGCTCGTGGTGCCTGAGCTCAGTAACAAGCTGTTCTCCAGCTGTGAGCACTGATCTGCTTTTCTGCGCATTGCCAGATTGTTCCCCGCCACCTGAGAAACATCCACAGAGAGCAGGCAAAGCCTGGTTTTAGTTTGGCATAAGTTGGTTCTGCTGAGCATCTTCCCGTCACAGTACACGGTGACCTGGCTGGGCTCAGGGGTGCTGGAGGATTTTACCAGTAAAAGAGGGGAGGTGGAGGTGGGCATCACTGCCAGAGCGAAGCCAGAACCACCTGATCCTACCAAAGCACACAATCTTGTTTTTCTGAAGGCTGAGTAAGAAGGGACATAATGTGTAGAATTAGCACAGATTTGCTGCTTTGTCATTAAAAATGGGTTTGCTGCCAAAACAGCAGCTTTGCTGCCGGGGACTGTCTGTTTGTACTGTCAGGCCTCAGCTCAGCACAGGCGTGTGCTGCGCTAAAGCAAACGAAAGGGGAATTATACGATATTGAATGTGGGCCTGTCTCTAAATGCATTGAAAATGTAGGTTATTGTCTTCTGGCATTTCCTAAAAAGCCTCTTGAGCTCCTGTTGGCAACCGCTGATATTGAGGGTACTTTTAGCTGTTTAAGTCTTCCTGTTCTAACAGGGGTCAAAGGGCTGTAAAGATCTTCTCAAAAGGATATAGAAGGAATCATTAAAAGGGAGGAGGAAGAAAGTGACAGAAGGTCAGCCTTTTTTTTTTTAATGGGTGCATCCCCGAGGGGGTCAGACACAGTTGTGCATTATACTCCAGCTCCAGTACCTGACTTTTAGAAACCTACAGCAAATCTTATTAGCACTCCCATAAGCATAAAATACAGGACAGAGCGCAATGTTCCAGGCAGAGGTAAAGGAGAGAAACCATGAAATAAGTCAATTTAGTCTTTCAGATGAATTTAAATCAACATAGTGCAAGAATATGACCAAGATGAGGACAAATACACAAATATGTGCAAGGTATTTTACGGTCCCCAGGAAGCGTGTGCATGTATCTGTGCGCGTTTAATTCCCTTGTTGATCTTTCTTTCCTTAGAGACAAATTTACTGTATGCCCATTGTTATAGCATGTCATGTAGCTTTTTGTAAGGACTGGTGTAGGGCAAAAAATTTACCTTTTTATGTGACAGAGCCAAACAGAATTGTGAAGGTTTTCAGTGATTTCTAGACAGCAAGCAATAAACTGCGTTTGCACCCACACACTTACTGCCTAACACCCCATCTGGTAACATTTCCACGTCTCCAGGAAAGAAATCAATAGCAATAATCTGTGAGGGCCTCATAGGGTGTATATTTTTTTATCGCACTGCTATTTGGAATTTTTTTCCTATCTGCTTACAGCACTAGATTGTTCTTTTTTTGTTAGCTAACATTGAAATCTTGGAGCCATTATTATATTTTATAAAAAGCAGTAACGAACACTGGGGTCAAAATAATATATTCTAAACACTTATATTCAATAATATCACAGTGTTCAGACAGCAAAGTCCTAGTCAATGAAGGCACTGAAAAATCTCCTACAGTAAGAACCTGTGCATTTAAAATGATATGCTAGCACACATCAAAGACTAGCATCCTAAAAATTCATGATTACTTAAAGATAGTTTATATTATAAGGGAGTATACCTCCAGCTTTCATCTTGCTCCAATGTAGAGAAGAAACTGTCCTTATATTCTGAAATTTAGAACTGTGTCACTGTTGGTTTTCTGTGTAAGGAGGAAATATGATGCTTTGTTACTGGTCTTATTTATTGCAGACCTTGTCTGGAATCTAGTATTGAAGCTGTGCTTGATGAGTTGCTGCCTTGAACTTTTCCACTGATCAATGCTGGTGCTATGGCTGCATGAAAGAATAGCTTTCCTGAGGAGAAGCTATCACATGGGAAACACACTACACAGTAAGCTAAGAAATCTGCTATAATCTTGTATGCTTAGGCTTAGAAACGTGTTTCCCAAAAGAAATGGTGATAGTGAATGACCATTTAAAAACTGAGACGTTACATGAGCAAGAGGTCAGGTCAAGAACAGGGAGGTATAACAAAAAAAGAGGTAGAGAGAGAAAGAAAGAAAGAAAGATTGGGGAAAGGGAAGGAAGAAAGGAAGGAAAAAGAAAGAAGCAGAAACCTTCCTTTCACTAACATGATAAGGCACAACTGGACAAAATGCACAGCTGAAGAAGAGGACATTACAGAGCCAGGAGACAGGAATCATATTTCTTCTTCTCCCTGCAGTGACAAATAAAAGGTTGTTTTGATTTTTGCTGTACAAATAATAAGCTTGACTTAGAAACTGTAGCTGCTGAGTTGCTTTCCACAAAAATATTTTTCACTTTTTGTCTTAATGGCAATACTAGAGGAAAGAAAAGGAAGCAGTTCTCTAATCAGCATATGTTTTATTTACCCACAGATTGTCCTGTGCATCTTGCAGTGGGGGTGGGATTGACATTCTGAACACAAGGAATGTCCTTTGAAAGTGGGATTTCACAGCATTTAGAATGGGTAAATCCATGTCTGTGCTTACCAGGCCTTCTCCCTTTTGCCAAGGCTGCCAGTTGTGATACTGTGGTGGTTTTTTGTTGGTTTTTGTTGTTGTTGTTGTTGTTGTTGTTGTTTTTTCACATAGAAAGTACACTGTGATGGACCCACTGAAATCTCTTTTTTTAAGTCACTAAAGCACCACCTCATTTGGTTACCAGCAGGGCACACAGCAGGTCTCTCAGTGCAGTTGGCTTTATTCATGTCTCCCTCTAAACAAGCCAGTGGTAACAAAAAGGAGTTAACCTTTTTGAAGCAGTGTTGCGATAGAGATCCCATGAAGACCAGCTAGGTGGATGCATAGGGTGCTTTTAGTTGTAAACTAACACTGAAACCTTGGAACCATTATTATATTTTATAAAAAGCAGTGACTAACACTGGGCTCAAAATAATATATTCTAAACACTCATATTCAATAGTTGTAAGCAAAGACTTTTGAATATATAGTTTTATTTTGTAACTTAGCACCAAAACTAAAATCTCTGGATGAGATAACCTTATTACTGCTATAAATGACTACTCTTGCCTCATTTTTGCCCCTACAATTTGCTTCTTGTCTGTCTTCATTTGCACTCTGAAATGCTGAGAAACCAAATCTCAAACCTGACTAAATAATAACGTGTAAATAAGGATCTAGCAGATCTTATCACTGGTGGAAAGGATAAATGGGACTGAGAGTCCTGGTCATCCCATGAATATTGCAAAAAAAAGCCATTGCTGAATTTTTAAAAAAATCTTTCTTTTGCTTTTAAAAATCTTTCTGCTGTTTGTGCAGATGGAATGAGAAAAATAGCATTCTACTAATTTATGTTGTTTCAGTAAAAATAAATCCACGGTGACGTGGGTATTCAGGTGCCGAGGGAAGGAGGGCTATGTAAATACCTCAGTTGGTGTTTTTTTGCCTGGGGTCCATGGGCTGTGAATGAGAGTACTATAAAAGATAACCCAGGATAGCAAGTCCCTTGTCAGTTAGCTTAAATTTTCAATATAAGGGTCCCTACCTCCAGCAGAAGAGTTTAAGTGCATAAACATTGAAGAGATTGCAAATCACTAACATACAGAGGCAGTCAGACCACTGCAGGCACTGAGAACAGTATATTCAGTCAGTGTTATCTCAGTCCATTCTTCTAATACTATTGAATTTTATTTGGTAGTCTAAATTAAAACAGGAGTAAAAATTTAGTATTTTCAATAAAGTTATATTTGAGCTCAGTCTTTCATGATAAATAAGCCATTCACTTACGTACATCTGCCAGAGCATTCATAGGAAGCATTGGGCTTAAATGAGTTGTGACCTTACGAGACAGTCTACTGTTTGGAGACTATATAGGTGACTGCTGGGTTTTGAGTCTTGACCTTTCTGTTTATATTCATCATGAATGTGCAGATACTTTTATTCTTTCTGGGAAAAGGCTGTCAATCTCCACACTAATTTTAATGCTGGTGCAATGCAGAACAGTGGTGGATCTTGGCAATAACAATCACCGACTGACTAAAATTAACTAATTCAGACTGCTATGCTAAATTGAGTATGAGCGGGTTTGTTTCAGGCTCGGCATGGAAGCACAGGTGCAGTCGATAAATAGGGACACATACGGTGCCTAAATACTCTCTCTCTGTCGTTGTGACCTCCCAGCAAAAAACCTCTGACAAATCACTTGTGACTTTCCAGAGCTTGTCGAGCTGCTGTTCAGTTGATCCGTATTTCTCTAGACTGGAAGTGACAGGAGGAGGCACTGATACTTGTGAGCTTAAAAAAGACTTCAATTCCTATCCCAAAATCATGGCACTTTCTGAGGACTGGACATGTAAACACCTCCTGACCCCTCGGCTGAGGCCAAGGCTTGTTGGTCTCTGTCCTTCACCACATCTCCTTCCTTACTTCTGCTACAAAAGTTTGCTGTTGTTCAGGGACCATCTCAGCAGACCTTACACCATCTGCCCCACGAGCTGGGGAGAACCCTCTTTCCCTCTCTGCCCACCCCAGGGATGCTCAGGTGATCTCCTTGAAGTGCAGCCTCTGGCAGATTAGAATCCTGGCATTGTTTCTGCCCCCAAAGCTGCTGAGATAGACCACTGCTGGGAGGTCCCAGCTCAAATCACCCAAATAGCAATGCAGAATACAGCCTAAAATTATGATGACCACATTCCAGGCATGGGATGCTGAGGCACCTATGGGGCTCCAGAGCAGCCGCTCTCTGCCTTGCTGGGACAGGGGTGTAGAAAGAATTTTATTATGGTAAACTCCAAAAATAATGTTCTTTTATAATTCTGACCCAGTCTATTGCTGAATAGGAAGAGAAACTTCTTTTAGAGCTTTGATACTCTGAGCAGAAGAGTTTTGTGCAGCTGTCCTGAGCCCTCATTTCCCTATGGCCATGGGTTTTATGCTGGTACCACCTGCTCTTCCCCAAAATCCCTTCTGGCTTTTGCCACCCCTCCTGCATTCTCACACTCTTTCTCATTCTCTCTAAGTGTTTTCCTCACAAATTATGTCTTCCTGTATAACTTCTTTATCAGAAAAGCTTCAGCTGTAGAAGCAATTATCAGAAGAAAAGTAACAGAGGGGAAAAAAAGGGGGTTTGCTTGTCTGCCAAATTTCCAGGAGCCAGGGCAGTCCTAGCAAGAATACACAAAGGCATTTTTCAAGCAAATATTACAGAACTCTTTCAGTAAAGGTATATTGGCTTAAAGGGGCTCCCTCCAACCCTACTGATATCCAAGCTTCTTTCACCCAGAATCGCTCAAATCAATGCAAGTTATATCGCTCTTTTCTCCCATGCCAGCCAAAGTAAGCTTTTATTACCTTCTTTACCCTGCCAAAGTCTGTGATCCCAGCCAGTGCCCAGCTGCTCACTGCTGGCAGCGTTTTCCTCTCTGCCGTGCCCTGCACAGAGCATTGTGCACAAGCAGCTGCTGACACAGGGTGTGAAAGATACCACCGTGAGGAAGCTGCAGAAGGACTTCTCTTTCTTGTTTCTGCCAATATCTCTGTCCTTGTTTGCTTTCCAATGGAAAGGGGTAAATTAAATTATAGTAAAATGTCTTCCTAAATATGCTTTCTCACTCCTCCTTCATGTATACAAGCGCTGCAGACATAGCGAGAGATTATGTATCCCAAAGGAATTTGGTGCAATATTTTGTAATTCTGATTGAAATGTGTTCTGTCTGGTCCCCATAGTTTAATTTAGAACAATTAAGGTTCAGAGTACATGAGCTTGCAAAGCACATTACAAACAATGGCTGCAGAATAAACTGCAAATCAATCCACACTAAATCACCCTGAAAATCCCTGCGAACACAACAAAGAGGTCTAGATTCACAGTCCTTTAATACAATCTCCTCTGTCTTTGTAGCCATAAGTAGTTCAGCTTCTTCCTTTATGGAAAATTGTCCCCAAATTATTTCAGGTTTGGAGTTTTTTTGTTTGTTTGTTACCGAAAATAAAACAATGACGAGTCATCCTGTACGTGTTTATGCAAGCATGTCAAATCAAACCGCAAGAGAGACGCCGCTGCTGTGCTCTGTTCTCTGCTCTACCTTGCAATGCTTATTTCTAATGATTGCCTTGCTGCTTTTACACAGGATATAGATGAGCAGCGGGTACTAATATAATTAAACCTGATAAGAGGGTGTCCTGAATATCATGCACGTGCGTGCACAGCCTGTGTAATAGGGCTAGTACATGTCCCACATCAACTTTCTATGATTTTTACATTACCTTTATTGCACTGGCTGACACCCGTGTTCCTGCTTTTATATCACAGTAGCTTTTCATTAATACTGTACCTAAAACGTTATTTTAAGCGGGATGAAGTCAGGCTAAAAAAAAAAAAGATCCTCTGATTTCTGCAAAACTAAGATTTTGTTTCCTCTGTGTGCACCCTGAAATCTTGGAAGCAGCAGACAACACATGATGTTTTTCAGCAAATAGTCTCGCACAGGATATTCCCATATTCAGAAGAGAGGGCACACATGTAGATTGTTTTGAAATCATATGTGGCTGTTGGGAGATAACTGCGTTTTGTTTTGATTTTGATGATGAAAAGAGTGGGTACCTGGGTCTGATGAGGGTTCTGCACAGTTCTCCTTTTCAAACCCCAGACAATAACCTATTCCTCACAATCAAAGTTCAGTGAAGGGAAATGGCTTCCAGGAGAGCACAGTAGCCTGGCCAGCCCCAGAGCAATCGCACTACGTGACAGAAGGCAAAGCAGGAGCTATCAGAATAATTGCCTCTGGAAATGACCACAGGGGAGGGCCTGATCCAAAACCCCCACTGGTCAATAAGAGGCTACTACTGACGTGGACTCACATCATCAGTTGTTATATCGGAAAGATTTTTTTTCCAGGACAGTGCTTCTGATTTGAATGTTCTTTGCACAGAGCAACAAATACAGATACCCAGCCACCAGATGAGGCAGGGGCTCATTTAATGTGGTGATGAGGCTGGCACATGGCTGACATGTTCATCAGCACTTCCTAGGGCTCACACCATCTCTGCATAGCCCCAAAGGTCTCTCTATACTTACCTTATTCTATGTTACTGATACATCAAGAAGGTAGTAAGACAAAATGGTGTTGACATTTTTCCACATCACCGCTTTGCTCCGTCCTGCAGCATTTTGTGCAGTGCACTGTCTGTCCCCCTGGCACCAGGCAGTGTCCCCTCAGCATGGGCAGGGATAGGCAGCCTCCTGTGCCACCCTCGCAGAGCTGCATTAAACCCCATGGCACTGAGGTTCTGTTCCTGCAGAGCAGATGCAGGTTTGTGGATGTTTGTGCTCCACGCTGTGCTGTCATGCCAGGCCCGTCAGGTGTCTCCCATGACACCCCCTCCACTGCAGCACCCTGAGCAGAGTGCAGCCCTGAGCCCCAAAACGCCCTCGGCACACATCAGTCACATCCCCATTGTGTGCAGCACATTACAGGTTTTACAGTTTCCAGTGAGGGCGATGTACAGCCTGGCTGAGGCCAATCAATACGCTCCAGGACCATTATCCTATAAAATGCCCACTTATTTAAAAAGGGGGTGGGAGTACAGACCTTCAGTTCTGATCCAGCTCTGTTAAAGTCAACGGCCAAAATCCCATTGATTTTCAGAGGCAAAGAGTTGGCATGTGCTTTAAAATATTCACAAGTCAGGAATAATAGCAACAAGCAGATATAGATATAGCATCTTGAATTCATATACTATGATCTGCATGATACTTCTGCCATTAAAAATAAATAATCCACTGTTTAGGAGAAAATAAGGGTACACTAGCAATCGTCCTTTGCAGAGTCCTTCAAAGCAAAGGCAGTGATTATAAGGGCAAGGCATAAAACCTGGGAGGTGTTTTATTTGCCTGTTCTCACACTGGTTTTTGAACCACTTTTTCTCTTCTCCTAGCTTGCGTTCTGCTCAGCCTCACTGTTGTGCTCATTAGTCTGGTTAAGCTGCACTGCAGGATTCAACTTGTTATTTTAAGTAAAATAATTTAATTAATCTGGTATTCCATAATTATTTCTTTTGGGGAGATAAAGATATTTAATCTGTGTACAACAGCATTCACTCCTTAACCTGGGATCCCTGGATTTTAAGCAGAGCCAAACAGATAATTTTCAGAGGGGTATTAGCACAGCACTTCTATCTGCAGTGGTGTCTGTGTCATGCCCCTAATCCTGCTCCGCTACTGTGCAGAAACAACAGGGAGCGCCGAACTTGCAAAGACCTTTAGGAATTAGGTAACTTCCTCCAGGGTATGAAGTTCTTCTGTCAAAGGTTCCCAGCATCTGTGGGGTTAGTGCTGATTTGTGAGGATTGCATTAACTGATTCCCACTGTCACAGTGCCACTGGTGAAAAGGGAGATGATAAAAGACTTTCCCGATGAAAAAGTGCTGCCATTTTCATTTCAAACAAGGCACTGCTGTGGTTATTTTGGTTTCATGTTCACTGGTACAGTATGGATGAAAAGGAAGCATAAGCATTTTGTTTTGTAGCTATAGAGGTAATGGTTGGTAGCTCCTGGCAAGTCTGTCCTTGGATTCTGGATCGTGGGGACAGCTCGAGGGGGTAGTGTCCCTTTGGGGAGGCTCCCCACATCTGTGTAGGTCACATAAGGTGGGCTGCTGGGCACTTCCTTTTTGCTGCTCACATGCAGTGGTTATAGGGACAACCTCAGATGGGGAAAAAATCACTCTCTTTCTCTGGAAAAATTTCTAAACATTCTTTTCATCTTGGAACAATGGGCCCCTTCCTGGGGCCACTCCGAGCCAGCCACGCCATGCACACACACCTGAGCCCGGGTTCATGTTCTGCTCTCCACATAACTCTGTGTTTTGACTCATTCAGTAACACTTGGCTATTTTTCCTGTAAATGCATCAGTCCTATAGCTTTGTAGGGCTCCAATACAGAGGAACCATTTTTATCTTAACAGCCAGTGACCCAGGAGGTTTATATATATGGGAGGACACTAACCTTTGGTCTAAATGTTTCATCCTTGTTCTCAGCTTAGAGAGGGATTTTTATTTTCCTCTAAACATCTTTGAAATACTTCTTGGACGTTTTAGAGTCCTTCACATAGGGGACTTGAAAAGACACTTCCTTCTCTGTCAGTAGTATTTCAGATGCTTTTATACAAGGAGTAACATCAGACGACTATTTGCTTGTGTCTTTTTTAATTACATCAGTCCTTGAATGAAGCACACGGCCTGTCTTGCCTGCTAGGTGAGTGCCTTACTCTCTCAGAGAGATGGTCAGGCTCATGGCTGCTCTCACTGCCTCCAGGGACCTTTCCAAATTGCATTTCTCAACAGGAGGGGTGAAGAGCAATTTCTCTCCTGGTCTCCTCACAAGCTTTTGCCGTAGAAGGGTACAGTTCAGTAGCCACAACACCCTGTACACAAACCTCTCAGGCAGAAGAGGAGAAACCCGGGTCTCCCTCTCCCTTAACCATGGGGTTTCTCTGGGGAAAAACAAACAAACAAACAAACAAAAAACACCAACAAGAGAACAACAGCACCTCTTCCCCCAGCTATGTGAAAAGGAGAGACCAGACAGCACAGAAAAAGCTGGCAGATATGATGAAAAGCACAGCAGATGGAAGATCATCCCTTTCTTGGACCTCAAGAGGCACCAACCCACTGAACCTGGTCGTGCTGGAGGATCTTCTGGCAGCATGGACCTGTGCACACTTGAACTTTCAGCTTTTGACTCAGAAATCAAAATACAGCCA